AATGGACAGTATGATTTAAGGAGAAAGCATGAGTTTAAAAAGAGTATGAGATAAATTATAAGTGCTTTATAACACCATCGTGACCGATTGTGAAGTAGCTTACCTTAATCTCTCTCTAACTATCGATCAAGATAATCGTACAGATCCCAATCAGGTAGTCTGGACCAATCAAGCTGGTTCAGTTTTTAACAGTCCGTAACTTTATGTCTTGGTTTGGTCAGACCTAGTTTTCTTTCAATCTACTCCCGCGCCAGTTAATCTTGAGTGTTGAGCTAGGCGAAAATATTATAGTTACATGATATTTTCTTTATATTCACACGAAACGACCTTTAAATGGACTATTGAGCTTACTCATAATGGTTAGTACATATTGTATTGTATACTAGACCACAAGTGTAAACCAGGAAGTACTGGACAGTTGAATATCCATGATCAGTGTAGTCCACTATGTCGGGTTTTGAAATGGAAGATTTTCTCTCAGTATCTTGAATTAATTGAAGTTAATTATTTCTACCTCTGGCTAACCAGCTTGAAGTTTAAGTGTTCACGTGCGAGATCGAAGTTCCCTGATTTGATGCCTTGTAGCGGGTAACTACTTTCTCAAAGTAGTCGAAAGTGTATTCCCCTTGTAAAATCTTCAATCCTTAATGTACAAACCTTTTAAATAGGATTCTTTCGAATGTAACACCACTTTTGTTAGTCGGTCAAACGTTTAAAAATACACATCAGACTGTGTTGCCGGACAAATTCAGAGCAAACTAAAGTTATCCAGAACTGAATTGAGAATAAGATTTGATTTATTAAAGGACTTTCGTGACTTTTAAGAGATTACTAACGTACGCCTGTTACCCCTAATTTGAGCATAAGCCGCCGATCAGCAAATTATTCACTGATCAAAACTGGAAATTTTTTCGAAGAATATTAATAATATCAAGCGTAACCTTTGTAACTGTAGTAGACATAACTGTGCTGTAAGAACAAATGTTTACTAGAACAAAAGCAAGTAGTCAGTTAGATGCCAAACGCTTAAAATTTGTGCTATCAATGCAGTATCTGGAACTTCAAACAACTATCAACCAACATCAACATCAGAATTTTTAATACAAATGTCCAGACAGTTCTACTGTATGCGGTGGCAATTTAAAGAACTACAAAAGCCATCATTCGGAAGATACAAGTATTCATTAACAGTTGTCTACGTAAAATAATTCGGATTCGTTGGCCAGACACTATCAGCAACAACGTACTGTGGGAGAGAACAAACCAGATTCCAGTAGAGGAGGAAATCAGGAAGAAGCGCCGGAGTTGGTGGATAGGACAAACACTACGAAAAGCACCTAACTGCGTCACAAGACAAGCCCTCACATGTGACCCTCGAAGTAAAAGGAAAAGAGGAAGGCCAAGGAATACATTACACCGAGAAATAGTGGAAGATATCAGAGGAATGAACAGAAATTGTGTGGAACTGGAAGGGGAAGCCCAGGAGAATACTAGTCGGCAGCCTATGCTCCATTGGGTGTAACAGGCATAAGTAAGTAAGTAAGTAAGTAAGTAAGTAAGTGAGTGAGTGAGTGAGTGAGTGAGTGAGTGAGTGAGTGAGTGAGTCAGTGAGTGAGTCAGTGAGTGAGTGAGTGAGTGAGTGAGTGAGTGAGTGAGTGAGTGAGTGAGTGAGTGAGTGAGTGAGTGAGTGAGTGAGTGAGTGAGTGAGTGAGTGAGTGAGTGAGTGAGTGAGTGAGTAAAGTAGCAATTTGCTAGAGGAGATTTGCATGAATTCTTGACATGTGATGAGATTATCTGTTCATATATTATCAACCGATAAAAAGGATAATTTCTCAAAATAATCTTTCAGAATAATGATTTTAAAACAATTAGTCCCTTTTATAAATTTTGATAGAACAGTGAGAAGACGTAACTGATCTGAAAAATGTGATGTATTTGCGTGCTATACATATTTCGAACAATCTGGTCACACATATACCTACTTGTCAAGGCATTTTTATATGAAGATGAATAAAAGGTCAATTAAATAAAAGTTCAAATAGACATAGAGTGATAATTGTAAATGAATGAGAGAGAAAATTAACGTAAAATGAAAAGAATAAGAAAGGGTAGGAAAACTGTCACATTACCCTAGGCTTAAAGATTACCAGGGTAAATTCAATTTTCAGTTAGAGTTTTGGAGGTTTGTGTTTTTCACACATTTGAAATCAACAATCAATCATTCTTAGACAAATACAAACCTCCAAAACTCTAACTGAAAGTATCGTAAAATGTGCTCACTAGTGACTAGCTTCGTGAGGACATTCTCGGAGTTCGCACAAAATCCCTAGATCAATCAAAGATAGACATTAACACCGTTAGATACTGACTCAGTGGCCCAGAGGTTAAACGTTCGCACACATTACCGAAGGTCCCAGGTTCGAACGCTGTGAGGTACATGAGTCGTGGATGCACACTGCCACTGATGAGTCCCATACCACCAGGACGAAACGGCCGTCCAGTGTAAATTCAATTTGTCATAACTTGTGACCAGATTGTTCGAAATATGTATAGCACGCAAATACCTCACATTTTTCAGATCAATTTCGTACGTCTTCTCACTGTTCTATCAAAATAATGATTTCGTTTATTCTCAAATATCCACATGAATTACTAATTATTAAAACAATGTCATGTCCAACTACAAAATACAAGTGAGAAAAATCATATAAAGTGCAAAAATATTTTATTGTTTGTTTTTGAAAAAAAGCAAAATAAAACTTTCCAATGTTGGGAGTATTTCACTCACTTGACATTCTTCAATTTCATCAAGAATAGTTTGACATTTTGTCTTAGCTTTTTCTAAAGTACATTTATCCTCTTCGGTTTCACGTTGTAATTCATCGATTAGAATGGATGTCTGTGAAATAAATAAAAAAATTGAATATTGATTTGTTTATTGTTTTGAATTGAATAAAATTAAAAAATAACACATTCAGTTACTATTCAAATACAACTCTCATTGATTGATTTCATTGAACACGGTTTCATCATTTATCGAGATTTTTGACAAGTAAGTAAGTAAGTTGTTATTGCTGTTCTTATTTGTAAGTTTACTAAACGTCTTGGATTCGGTGGGAATAACAATAGTTTGGTGGTATACATGTTTCATGTGATTTATGTATGTATGTATGAACGCGGTTAGATCACCACTAACTGACCATCACGGGATTATCACTTCTGACATAATATTAAATAAAAGGATTTGATTCTGACCGAATCGGTCTTGTGTGTTTTTATCGGTATGAGTGCGGATGTTCCTTGCCAGCTGCTCACACCATGAAAGGGTACTGGTTTTCAGAATAGGCATCGGCCTCATGACTTCCGAAGGAACTCGGCCTTCATCATCAGACGTCATAACTCTTCTAAATGAAGACCTTCAAACTCTCAGAGCACAGTTTATATGCTTTTAATTATTTTTTCTTGTTAACGTTTTTTTAGCGAGTTGGTTTTTTGTGGGATGGTGTCGCAAACCTTCATCTCAGCCCTCCTCCTTTATCCGGACTTGTGACCGGGAGTAGCCCCGGATGGTCTACAGGCGGAATATTACATTATATGCATCTGAATTTTCAGGAGTGGACCTTCTAACAGCAGATTCATCGATTAACTTAGAATATGCCGATGACATAGTTCTACTTGGTGAAGACGCTGATAAAATGCAGAGTCTTCTGACTACCATAAGCAACAATGTAAGCATGTTCGGGATGCTATTCTCCCCGTCGAAATGCAAAATGTTGCTTCAGGATTGGCTTGCATCAGCACCTGAACCAGTGATAGTGATTGAAGCAGGTGGACGTGTTGATCGCTTCACTTATCTTGAAAGTCTCATCAGTGCTGATGGCTGACAAAATCTCGGCACGGATACAGAAGGCTCGACTGGCCTTTGCCAACTTGCGTCACTTATGGCGTAGATGAGATATCGCTTTGCTAACCAAAGGACGAGTGTACTGTGCAGTAGTTCGCCCCATCCTACTTTATGGCTATAGAATATGACCAGTCTGATTAGATATTCGTAGGTTACTGGTTTTCGATCATACGTGACTCCGAAGCATTGCTAGAATATTCTGGGTAGGCAGTGCAGTTGTTAGGAAACGGGTACTAGATGAGGATGGCAAATCAATTAATGAAGTAAGGCATGTTCATCAGTTGAGATTTTTGAGACATGTTTTCTGTATGCCTAACCACCGACTGCCTCCACGAGCTATGTTTTGTGGTTTAGGAGTAGGTTGGAAGAAAGTTAGGGGTGGCTAAACCAAAACTTGGCAGAAATCCATGAAGGCACTGACAAGTGGACTGAGTCACGTTGGTAGGTGTCGACAACCTGGTTAGGGTCAGCGAGATGATAGTAATCGATGGTTAGACACCTTGAATGACATGGCTCAAAACCGTTTACAATGTCGCAGGTGCATTCATTCTTTGTGTTCTCTCAAATTGTGTAACCTTCTGAATACTTCATCACCTTTAACTATGTGAAACTACTCCTAAATTAAACAGTTTTAACTCAGCACAAACAATAGTCATTGACAAAATTTTTGACTGAAACATTCATAATGATAAACACAGTATACCTGTTTTAATTTTTCTCTCAAAACTTCAGTTTGTTCTTGTTTCTCTTCAATGAGTTGATTTGCATTGTTTTTCATTTCTGCACATTTTTTTTCTAACTGAAATGTAAAATATGATTGTTTCTTGTTATTCAATATTTAACAAGCCAATCAGTTGCAACTTATCCCAGATTTCAATTGTGCCATTAACCGCTGAATTTATCTGAATGTTTATACTAGTCATGTTTACTAGGAAATAAGATCCGAAATACACACATACACACACACACACACTGGAACGTTATCATTTATATTTCAAATAAAAATGAATATCTTAGTGAGGGAATGTAATTCCTCATTGTTGATACGGGATGTTTTGAGTAGAAAAAGGGATATTTGAGAATGGCATTGTGAATATATTACTACTAAGAGGCCAGCACACAAATAGTTTATTGACACACGTTATAGAATGGTAGTCATTGCCTCAATGTAACATTATTACACATTTGAAACTATCAATCAATCATTGTTAGACCACACCATTAGAAACCTAGAAGCACTGGACGGCCGTTTCGTCCATCATCAGTGGCAGTGCCTATCCACGACTCCTACATCTCGCAGTATTCGAATCCAGGACCTTCAATCTTGTGCGCCAACACCTAACCCCTGGACCACT